AGCAAATATCATCAAGTTGCCAACATAAGAGACACATGTTAAAGGTTTGTGTCATGTGTATATGTTTACACCCAAAAATGACCCATTTTTTGTTATTATCGACAAGATCGAGCAGAAATTTCAGTTCTGTGCTAGTTTGGGAAAATAGTCATAGCTTTATCGATACATATTGGATTGACCTAATTCTAAAGCCAAAAAAACGAAGACTCATGGATCTACAACTTTTATGTTTTGAGTTTTCTCAGAAAAGTACTGTAGAGTCATCTATTTTGGAAGGAAGTGGATGGTCGTGACTTATCAGAATGCAGAAACAGGATAGGAACTTCAGTCAAGAATAGCCAACTTGAAGGAATCGACTAAAAGTGGAGTCGACAGTCTCGTATACAACTGTCGAAGAAGTAACCGTCAATGTAGTGGAGTCGAAGCAACTGCCAACGTAGTGGAGTCGAATAAACCGTCAAGGTAGTGGACTCCACGCAACCATTAGAAAATCGTTCACGTGCACGGATGTATATTTTGAGGGAATAGTTACTTGGAAGCATGATCATGAGACAGTTATCACTTGTAGACAAGATCGTGAGACAATTATCTTGAAAGCAGGAAACATTACATGGACATGAAGACAAGATTTTCGGAATTGAAGAACATGGGCACAATTGTTGGAAATAGCTAAGGAGGAGTTACCACGCGACCGTTATAAATATCATCGGCCATCTACTGGAGAGCCCCCGACAAATCAAATAACATGTTTTCTTTCAATTATCTTTACTTTCATGTACCGCACTTTATCTTTCCTTAGCTGTAGCTTTCCTTTCGATTCACGTTGTCGATTAACCGACGTGTATCTTTATCCCGGGTGTTATGTCGTCGATTAAATTTTGGCGTTACATCTTTGTGTACGTGTGTGGCTGTATTTTCAAGCTTTGTAGTCGAATAAATTCCAGCACGGTTTGTACCTACAATTCGGTTCAAAGTTCGAAGTAAAGTTGTTGATTCTTGTCTTCCGGGATATTTTCTTGTCCGGAGTCGCCACTGAACCTGGTCATCTCTCACAAAAAAGCCGAACAACGACGTTTGGTGAATTATATTCACATTATATAATGCTGCTCGAAAAATTATTTCTGCTCACCGTTTATTGTCAAACGCGAACCTTATTTGTAATGTCAACTTTTTCATGTAATATGCATATGCCAAGTAGTTAATTTATGCATGCAGGATGACTTGTATGGTGAACGATTACGTATTTACTAGAATGCTCCGTTTGTTTTGTAGAAATTGAATGATTTAGAAAACGTTTTCTTAATAATAATCGATTATATTGCTTACAAAAATGAATGAACAAATTTTTTTTCATTGTTTACGAGAATGTTTAGACATAAAATTGTTGTTGATACTGAAAAATACTTTAATGACTAATTACTTTAAGTGATACAAGTGATCATTTTCAGGAAAATATTTTCAAAATCATTCATTTTCCGCGAAACAAATAAAGCCTAAGATTGTGGATTGCTCATATTAGATCTTCATCCTTTAGTCTCAAGAATTGAGAGAACTTTTCATATAATTCAGGATTAAGCCTATTAAATTTCTGTTGGACGTTGTAACTAATTGAAACTCAACCTAGTGTCCCTTTATCTATTGGTCATGAACTCAACCTAGTGTTCAAACTTGTCATTTCATAGCCTCTTCTAGTAGTTCTATGAGCTTGAAAGTCATTTAGAAAAAAACGACACACAAGAATATGTCAATGTAGGTTAAGAGAGTTTGCTATTTTGACATGGTGGAAAGGGAATGCAAGGACTTTGTCGATGCTGTCCACCATGACACGTGATATGCTAACTCTCTTTGGATGCGTTTGGGAGAGCTTTTAGGAAATATCTTTACAAAGATGCAAAGGATTTTAGGTTAAAATTTTTTAGTGAGATGCTCATAAACCGCTTTTGATCCTTAGGATAAAGATTGGGATATGATTGGATAAAGTGGGATAAAAAATCCCCCAAATACCTACCATGTGTTTGGTACACTTCAACATAAGACTGAAAAATAAATAAAAAATTTAATTGTGTTAAAAGATTGAAAATCAATTAAGTTCTAAAACTTATCAAATTGGTGCAATTAAATCCTTCCATTAACTCAGTCCAACTTAGTTAACAGAAAATGCTGGCATTTTTTTTTACTTTCTCTCTCCTCCTTCATGCTTAAGCCACGTTAGTGCCACATAGGAGAGAAAAAAAAATAATAACAAAGGCACATAAGCATTTTCCGTTAGCTAAGTTGGATGGAGTTAACGGAAGAACTTGATTGCACCAATTTGATAAGTTTTAGGACTTAATTACACTTTTTGTAAGTTTTAGAACTCAATTGCATTTTCGTGATATGTTTTAGGATTTCCAGTGCACTTGTTTCTTAAAAAAATTCAATAAGATTAAAAGACTGAAATGGAAAATCCTAGATCTAGTGATTGTGGCCGCCGCCGCCACCATGGTGGCCGCAATCGAAGATGATCACCACTGGCCTTTGCTTTGCATGATGGCCCAAATTAAACAATCTAAAATTGAGTAAAATCGTGATGCTTATTCGGTCCAGAGTATGTCCGGTCCAAAGAATGTCCCTAAACACCAGATAGACTAACAACTTATCCTATTTAGGCTCAAATCTAGACTATAAAATGCAACCAGGCTTTAGACCAAATTGTGTAAAGAGTTTTTTATATATATAGAAAGAGAAGATTGCAGAGATCAAAGAAAATCAATTGTGAAATAGTCGGAGTTGGCGACCTTGATCGATGGCTATTGGGGGCAAATCTGAAGCGACGCCGGTAAGATTTGAGCCCGTTGGCGACAACGTGGCATGTCAATCAAATTTGCACAAGAAATGAGGGTAAGGATGAAGCTGGAATTTAGATAATCTAATGAGGGCAAAGTTTTTTTGAAAAAAAATCATTAACCTTAGAAAGTAGCATTTTGGAAATTCCACATGTCAATGCTTGGTAGGACTTCCATTGAGCTAAGGGCCTTTAGAAATGCTAATTTTGACTCAAAGCCCTTTGCATTTTCATTTCCAAATTCCTCAGCATTTTGCCAAAGACCTTTATGGGCGAAAAGGCCTTTAACAAGGCTGTGCTAAACGCAACCATAGGCTTTTAGCTTAGATGGTAAGCCTTTAAGCGAGAAGAGTAGCAGCTTGAAGCCAAAGACTATCAAAATGACAGTGTCCGCTAAAGATCGTGATGTGGCGAAGAGGAGAGAATAAGAACATGCTGAAGACGATAGCAAGCAACCATCATTTGGTTCCGGCTAAAGGAAGATTGTGGTGATGGTCAATTCTGCGATAAAGATACATACTGAATTAGACACGACAATAGTCGGTGACTGTTAGCGACCGTCACTCACAAAATCGACCAGGAAGAGCATGAAACGTAATTACGCGGGTAAAAAACGTTGTATAGCTCAAATACTCCTGCAATAGGATTATCCATAAAATCATTGTGACTCGTGATCGATTAAACCGTCGCACTTGCGCATTAACCACGAATAAAAATTGGCGAAGGGGATATTATTTAGGGGTTTGCAAATGAACCGGGAAATGCCTGGAACCGAACTGGACCGGCTCGGAAACGAAAACCGAGAGATGCCAAAATTATGTCCAAACACAAACCCTAGACCTTAAACTCAATTTTGGCATCTCTCGGGGGAATATTCAGTATAGATCCATGGAGGTTCTGCAGAAAACTCTCGCTAAAAACGAAAAAGTTACAAATTAGCCAAAAACAAACAAAACAAAACAAAAGAATTTTCTCACATGATTTTGAGGTGCAAAATCCAAAGTCCAACAATTAGACGGAAAAAAAAATATTTCCAAATGCCAAACTTTTCTACTTTAGCTAAAACTCACACCACAAATTACCAACACCAATAAAAATAAAATTAAATAAAATTAAAACCCTTCTTCTTCAACATCAAATTAGCCTCCTCTTGCAATTAGGGCTCTAAGGTCCTAGGGTTTTTGTCAACCCCCCTCCAAAGGAAGAACCTATGTAGCACCGACACCGATGCGCGATACGACATGACATGACACGCGACACATCATTTCTTAAAAAAATAGAGAATTCTGACATATTGGAACACATATATTAAATATATATTTTTAATAATAAAATATACCATAATGACAAAAAACAATTGGTTTATAAATAGCTAGTCTAGCCTAAAAACACAAACACCTGAATACGAGTTACTAAGAGAAATTCACAAATAGACAAAACTTTGGAACAAAAGCAGCCCAATATAAACAAGAGACATGGCAGACAAAATGCCAATGTAAAATGGCTAACTTTCAGCAACAATACCATCCCGTACACATCCGGTAGACTGCACCGTACAATGATTTTCAAGGTAAACCAAAGTTATTAAATGATGAAGATCAATTCCAGAATGCCACATTTCTAAAAAGCCCCCATGTGGATCATTCACTTTGTTCTTAAGGGGGAACGGCCATTTCTGTAAAGGCCAAAAACAAACTTAACTACAAAGAACTATTTAAGAAAAAAACTAATTTGTGACACCAATTCTAATATCATTAAGGTGGATATATACAAACTCTTGGAAGAACTAGAAGCCATTTCAAAATAAAAGCCAATTGACTTCAAATTGCAACTTTCGGATGCGAGGAAAGAAAGCAGTTCTATTACCAAGATAACATCCAATCTTGGCAAGGACGGCAGACGTGAACCTTCCTTCTTAAAAATATGCAAGTAAATCTACTTGTGATTGATCTTCCTTATTAGAACCCATAAAACCATTAAGTTCCAATAAAAAGATGAACTTGACTAGTTTAGGTTATGTAAATTCAATGCTTTTCGAGTAACACCTCACTGATCCATCGAAAGAAGCGCATTCACAAATTCAATTAGGGAAACAGAGTATATGCAATATGCAAACTTCTCCTCAAAATTCATGTTCTCATATTTCAATATAGAACACCATCTAAAAATGTTTGTCCCATTAAATTCAACATTTAACAATAAGTCAAAAAAACAAAAAACAATCCACATTTCACTATCAAATATAACAAGTCATTCATCTACATTATCCACTTCTTCTAAAAAACATCGCACTCCATCTCCGGCACATCAAGTAAAAAATTCGCAACTTCAAGCACTCCAACATCTTCAAACGTGTCAAATGCATCTTTACCAATATCTCACATCTTGATCTCTCCTTGTGCATATTGTGGGCTTTTTCTTGATAGAAGACGTAGGTTGCTATAAATGAAACCAAATCTTCTGCACGTTTTGGAGTCATTTTATTTCTCCTCATTAAGTGCACAAAGGAGTAAGCACTCCAATTCCTCTCGGCACATGATGAAGAAGAAGGTTGTGCAAGAAGCTTTAAGGCTATGCTTTGAAGCATAGGTGCACTTTCACCATGAATAATCCGCCAAGCCTTAAAGATCCATAGAATACCGACTTTGAATGGAATCAAATTCTCTAAACTCCCTATTTGTGCACGCAAAATCTACATACTCTAAATTCATCTTGGTGCGCTCCTCCAAGTTAGGAAAGTATTTCCTAAAACATTTTTTTCTTTCCTGGATGATGTTGTTATCCTTATATGGAGAAACTCGAGAAGGATCTCCATTGAGCCATTGGTCACTATAGTACCTTATTTAATAAAATAAAAATAGAAAACCATAATAAGTAAAAAGAGTATTATATTATCATGTCAAAGAAAGAACAACTAATAAAGTAATAATCTCATACAATTTTAGAACTTACCTAGGATTCAAGACATGTGCTAAGCAATGAAGTGGAGTGTTGTTTCTAGTCCAACGATCCACAAGAATTGTATGAACCGCCTCATAAAATGTAGACTTCTCATCTAGCCTTTTCACTCATGCTCATATATAGCTCTCTTCACTTTTTCAATCATTGAATCCCACATGTTATAAACTAAGTGAAGACAGGGCTTGTCGGTGTCACAAATTCTAAGCATGTCATAAATAGGAGTCGTGAAGGAAAGTATATAATCAATTGAATCCCACAAAAAATCATCCAACATCTTCTCCTTGACAAACTTAGCCCTTCCTTGATTATCATCTCGATAGATATTCCATTTGTCACAAATAATTATGCTTTGAAGACCACTTTTTATTAACTTAAACCTCCTAAGCATCACAATCATCGAAGCAAAACGTGTATCCGCTACGGAAAGCAACTTCAACTTAACAAACTCATTGTATATTGCTAGCCTCATGGAATGGTTCATGGTGAAATGTTTGATTCGCATAACTTCTGAAACAATCTCGGAAATCCAACTACATTCCAAATAAACTTCATGATTAGTTTCCATATTCTTTGGGTCACAAATGTTCTTCAATGCAAGATTAAGAATGTGCACCACATAAGGCGTCCAAAATAATGGATGGAAATTCTTGCTCAACGAGTTATCCTGTGCCCTTATAATTTGAAACATTATCCGTAATCACTTGGACCACTTTCTCATGCCTAATTTCATTGATCACTTCTTTGAATAAGTTAAAAATGAAATGCATATCCTTTGTTTCTCCCGAACAATCAACTGACTTTATAAACATAGGTTCTCCATCTGACACCACCATAAAATTAATAAGTGATTTCCTATGTGAGTCACTCCATCCATCACTTACAATACTTACACCTTTCTCCCTCCACATGTTTATAATAGGTGCACACAACCTATTAATATTTGCCTTCTCTTTTTGCAACAAAGTGGTCCTTAACAAATTGTATTTCGGTAGTACATATCCCGCAATATTATGATTAGTGGCATAAGTAAAAGTGGATTGAAAGTAAGGGTTCCTTGATAGGTTAAACGGCAAGCCCGCCAAATAAAACATCCTAGCAATCTCATAATCTAAATATTCTCGTTGATTCATGTTGAATGCCTTCTCAAGTAATCCTCCACTCCCACTTCCAATATTCCTTTTTTTTGGAGTCTAAATCCATCCCACTACTAGGTTCACTACCACCACAACTAATTGAAACACTAGAAAGGGGCAAAGGTACATTTTTAGTTGTAAGACTCGCTAATCTAGTATTGACCTATTCCTCTAATCTTTCCATCTCCAAAAGATCATTTTTTTCTACTTTTCCGCATTTTCCAATTCCTTTTCCTTTGATCATCGACAAATGGGCCCTCACTCTTGTATATGAACTCCTAAAATCTTTTTGGTAAAGATTGCATTTCCAAGACAAATTTCCCCCTGCATCGCTATGAGCAGCTAGCTTAGTGATATACCTCCATATTGATTTATTCGAATCTTCATTGGTAGATGTAGGCGCTTATGTACAAGAAGTGCTACTACCCATGCTTGAAGTCATTCTACAGAAAATACCATCACAATACCAACACCCACATATTAGATTCACCCAAATCAATAAGCAGTAAGTAGGGGCAGGAACATGTAACATCCATTTGGTAGACTGAGATAAGTTACTCACAGCAATAGCACAAGAACTCACACTCTGATAACCCATCACCAAGCATTATTTGGTACCTTTAAGGAAAAAGTAAACTGACATCATAATACCACATACAACAAGATACACCTCAACCCATAAAAAATATATCATTAACTGCAGATTCAATATGTGCCGATGTTGCATTGCACCAATTAAATTGTCATTAATATGAATGTGGTTACGAATGGCAGGCACATTTTCATATCACCAAATTGACTCGAAAATCAACTGTCTCATTTCCACACCTCCAAAACTCTATTCCAGATCAAGCAACCTCGTTCCCAACCAAACTTGAAGTTCTTACTTATCCAAACATTGATTCACTTAAAAGAAAAAAAGAAGTGCGGGACCCCCTCTCCTCTCTTGTTGTAACATACTAATGCCTATCATTGGCATAACGATCATCCAAACTCACTGAATTTTATCTCAAACAACCCACCCACACGCCCCACGACTTCTTCCTTCTTTCCCCCCAACCTACACACATGCCCCCCCCCCCCCCCCCCTCGGCAACCCACCCACACCGGCCGGCCCCCTTCCCCATGACTTCTTCCTTCTTCCCACTCACCACGACTTCCTCCTTCATCGAGCTACCATTACACCATCAAATTTGACACCAAGACAAACGATAGAAAAGTCAAAGCCCGTGACCGGGGCACTTGGCAGAAACAAAGAGAGGGCACTCGGTAGAAACAAAGAGAGGTGTATCTGCTTGCTACATGGCTGTAGCGGCGACCGGCAACTGGCGCGGAGAGAGCCTTGAGGTGGACCGGTGGTCGACGGAAAGAAGAAAGAAGAGAATTTGAGATGGGAGGTCATCGGTCGAGCAAAGAAGACAGAGAAAGCAAAGAGGCAGCGTGTTTTAGCCCTTTTTCTTCCACATTTATTTTTCTCTTTTTTATAAATTTATATTTTGACCCCTATTTTTTTGAAAATTTATAAAATTGACCCCGTACGTGTCAGAATCGCGTATTGGGATTCCGGACTCACGTGTCGGAGGCGTGTCCGGTGCGTTGACCGCGTGTCGGTGCTACATAGAGAAGAACCTTTCCAACAACACATGACTCCATTCCCGGTTCCACATGCCTCCCCCCTTAAAAAAAAGGAAGAACCTTTCAAACAACACATGACCCCATTCTTGGTTTCCCCCCCTCCCCCCAAAGGAAAAACCTTTCCAACAACACATGACCCTGTTTCTGGTTTTCCCGATTGTATGGTTTGCACCCACATCGATGCTTTGTCTTGTACCTCCTTCAAGAGTGTTGATAGGACCAATTACACAGCATTGTTAAGTGTCTCCTTTCTCTCTCTCTTTGTTATTCTTCTCCCTTTAATGGTTGATGTTCCCCAATTTATCATTCCGATGTTTATTTCTTATCAAGTTCCAGAGCCAAAACACTAGAGTTATCAACAGATATATTCAGAGACTAAGTTACACTCCCCCAACGATCACTCTTAATCATCTCCAAATCACTAACTATGGCCATCCGTCACCATCAACTCAATCCTCCACAATGGTAACAGTAAGAAAATGGACAGAACATAGATTGAAGAAACAAACCAACATGAACATGGAATCAACACATAGACCATTGACTCGAATTACATGCCATTGACCGCTATCCATCACCACCATGACAAGCATACGGGAATAGAACAAAAATATTTTCATCACTCTTGATTAATGAGTAAAATTCTACAACTTAAGCGACTAACGAACTCTAACGATAACAGGTTCATTTCTTATCAATCTCATCTTATCAATCTCACGAACCAAATTTTTTCAAATTATCAACATCGGGCACCACATCTCGCAATCTGACGAGCCCCCACACAATGGAAGAATGAGACTCACCTTGTTTCCAACGGAGAATCGGCATGCTTAGCACGTCAACAGCAAAGACATGCCACAAATTGGAGTCAACGAGTTGCAAAAGAAAGAGAGAGGCAGAGCTAGGGTTGCTGCAGAAAGAGAGAGGCGAACAATGAGAGAGATGGAGCTTGATTGCTTTGGGCTGGGTTTCTACGGGCACGGGCAAAAGTGGGAGACTAAGAGAGGATTGACGATGGCGACAAGGGGTTCCTACGGCAAGAGATGGCCACTGTGCTAGCGTGCCATGCGAGTGATGAAGAAAGGAGTATGAGAAATAGAGAAGAGGCTGAGGTTAGAAACAGAGGTGTCGCGACCTAACCTCCCGCGGTGCACCACCTAGGGTTTGGCTAATGGATTATTAAGTCTAAGCCTAACTCGGGCCCTCCCAAGCCTTATCAATTCGCGACTTAGGGTTTAAGTTTTTAACATGCAAATCATTTCAATTAGGAGTTGCAACTAATCTATTTTTTGGTGGGTTGATTAGAAACCCAAGTAAAATATCAGGAGAATTACTTTACTCCTACGAACAAGAGATTATGGATTCGGGGACTTGGTTACACTAGATTACTCTAATGCCCTTTCGGTACCTTTTCTCTTTTATTTCAAAAAAAATATTTGCGGGCAACTTGGATTGATTTTAAACCTATCTACTAACATGCGAGGTGATCATGTGGATGCGCAATCAATAATATAACACTCATTAATGCAAAGCAATAAATAAATTGTAAGATAAGGACTTACCTCAAAGCAGCAAAAGCATCTGCAATGTTAGTTACAAAATCACATTGACAATCATAATATGATTTCTAATTAACACACAATTTCACTCAAATCTTTTTTAGAGTTTTCTCTTATTTAGTGAAAATTAAACTATATGCAATGCATGCTACTAGTCTAACATGACATGCGACATACGATTTACCTAAATGTCCTAATTCTAACAACAATTAAATGCACTATCTCTCATATGGCATGCAAATGAACCTAGACGTGAGATTTCTAATGACAAGAATTAATTAATATGCGACTACTCTAATATGACATGCACGTGGTATTTTTTATATTTTTTAGTTTAAATTCGGAATGAATAATTAACCTAATTTAAACATGTAATAATAATATCAAAGAAAAGAATCTAATCTATTCTAAGAAAATAATCAAAATTTATTGTAAACATGCAATATATTATCTACTCAAATTTTACCTAATCTTTTTGTATTTTTTTTTATGGAAAGACAATCAATTCAATTCAAACAAAATACGGAAAGAAATAAAGTGAACACGACACCCAATCACAAGAAATATTATCCATATCCATTTAAATTTAGAAACAATAGATTGACAAATCATATCTCGGGCATGAGGATCGAATTGGTCAATCTTCCGCACAATCGCGAATCATATCTTGGGCGGGAGATCGGATTGACGATTTTTCGTGCGATCGCGAGTCATATTTTGGGCATGAAATCGGACTGTCAGTCATAGCACGTTACGAAATTAGGAAATAATTCCTAATTTAAGGGTACTTGGGAGTTTTCATGGATATGGTAATATTACTCAAATATTTAAACAAGATTGCAATTTCACAAATTAGGCAACAAAATATATGAAAATTGAGTAATGAAAATTCTTACCTAATCCGCGATACTGCTCGAATAGCGTTTCCAAATTCGGACGGACGACGGATCTGGATTGCGGATCGTGGGACTCGACGGATGGTGGCTTGCGGCGTGACTCGGCTGGGGAAGGCTTGGCAGTACTCACGATGGGCTCGCGATATGCCGACGACAAGAATGCTCACAGATCGCAGTGATGAGGAACTTCAATTCATGGCTAGCGATTCAAGGATCGATGCTCGGTACGTCGCAAGGACAGCGACTTGGGGGAACCTGTGAAAAAAGAATTTTGGTGAAGCAATTAGCAACACAAGACAGCGCGGCTGATCGCTCGAAGTGGGATTCACGGGCAGCAAAGTCGTAGCGAGTTCGGAGCGGAGACACGTGGTGATATCGTGGCTCGAGCAAGGAAACAATAGGTTGCCGCCTCAACTCGTGATGCACGGACGTCACTGGAAAGTCCAATGCTCGCTGAATAAAGCCCAGGTACCTTTCTTTGGCATTTCTTCCCTTTGCTGAACGCCCAAGCTTTTTGTCTCTTGTGAACTTGCAACAATCTCTCTCTCACCTCGAGTGTGTTGAAGCAGCTTTTCGGCAAGAGAGCTCCCTCGCGAACGTGCTCTCCTTTTTCTATCGGTGGTGGCCGTGTATGAAATTGTGTGGCCTCCTCAATTGTGAACCCTAACGCATCTATTTATAAGAGTTAATTAGGGTTATCTTGCAAGAGCCAAGATATATTATTTTCTAATTTTGATACTCAACTTAGGTAATTTTCTGATTATTTTCTCTAGTTGAATATTCACAAAATAATATGAATTATTTTCCAAGTATATTATTTAATAATTTGATAATTCAATTATTCCAGCTTGCTTTATAATGCAAATTTCGGCCATATATGTATTCAATGGGCTTGGACAAACATTTAATCTTTTGGGCTAAGTCCAATCAATTAAGCTCAAAACCATTCACTTAAGTCCGTACCCCGCCGGTCCAATGCAAATGCAATTATATGAGCGTAATTACTGATGCAAATGCTCCTAATCTACATGCAATTTAACTAATATTTTTTGTCTAAGGGCCGAGATCAATCCTTAATTTTTATGCAATGAACGATTAACTGGGTCGCCAAAATTTAGGTGTTAACAAGAGGAATTATACTCGTTCCGAAATTGGTCAACCGAACCTGTTTTCAAGGCTGTCCGATCCGGTTCTCGAGTAGAACTGGTTCGATTGCACAGGGCTACAACTTATCATATCCAGACTTAAATCCAAACTACCAAATGTAACCGTGCTTTAGACCTGGTTTTGTATTTAAAAATAGAGAAATTTGCAGGGCTAAAAGAAAACCAATTGAGAAGTCAGAGCTAGCAGCCTTGATGGATGGCCGCCGGGTGCATATCTAAGGCGATGGCGGTAAGATCTGACCTTGTTGGCGACAATGGGATGCCGAACATATTTGCACAAGAAAATGAAGGTGAGGATAAAGCTAGAATTTATATAATTTAGTTAGGGAAAATTCAAATTTAAAAAAATCATTAACCTTGAAAGCTGCATTTTGAAAATTTCAAATGCCAATGCTTGGTAGGACTTCCATTGAGTTAAGCACCCAAATGCTAACTTTGACTCAAAGGCTTTTGCATTTTTACTTTCAAATACTGCAACATTTTGCCAAAGGCCTTTGACAAAGTTGTGCCAGACGCAACCATAAGCTTTTTGCTTAGATGGTAGGCTTTTGAGCAAGAAGAGTTGCAACTTGAAGCTGGAGACTCACAATATCTCAGTGTGCGCTAGGGGTGAGCATGGTTCGGTTGGGCGGTTCTCAACATGGAATCCGGAACCGCCCACTAAGGACCGATTTTGAGAAATTGAAACTGGGACCAGATTAGTGGTCCAGTTTTCGGGTGGATCCATGGAACCAGTCCCACCAAGTTTCACGCTAATGGAGGTGACTGAGAGTGAGAGAGGGAGGCGATGAACGGCTAGAGGCGTGGTTGTGAGTTGATGGGAGTTGAGAGTCGAGCTTCAAATTAAGGATTTTATGGTTTTTATTTTTCTAAAAAAAATTTCTTCTTTTTTTGGTTGAAATTTTTCTTAAAAATTATTTATATTACCGGTCCATTCCGGGTAGGCGGTTCCATGCCTAGAACCGGGAACTGGACCAATACTTACCGGTTCTAATTCAGTTCTAATAAATTAGAACAGAGAATCGGACTGGTCCTCACGGGAACTGCCAATTTCGGGCCGGCCTAGTCTGGTTCCGGGCGGTTCCTGATTCCTTTGCACACCCCTAGTGTGCGCTAAAGATTGTGATGTGGCGAGCTGAAGACAATAACAAGTGACCATCATATGGGTTCGACTGAAGGAAGATTGCAGTGATGATCAACTCTGTGACAAAGATACACACTAAATTGGACATGACCATAGTTGGCGATGTTAGCCACCATCACTTACGAATTGACTTGGAAGAACACGAAATGCATATTATGAGGGTAAAAAGGTTGTATAGCTCAAATACTCATGCAGTACAATTATCCGTAAAATCATTTTGAGTTGTGATCGATTAAATAGTCGTACTTGGTCATTAATCACGAATAAAAATTGGTGAAGGGGGTTCATATCAATTCAACGTGAAATCTCAAGGAAAATTGTCCAAAAAGTCCTAAACCTATTACATTTTTGCCAATTAAGTCTTAAACCTTTCAATTTTATCAATTCGGTTCTTAAACTTTTGTGTTTGTGCCAATTCATTCCATCCAGCCAATTTTACCCAGCCGACGCTGACGTGGACGCTGTCCGGCCAACGTTGACGTAGCAAATTTTTTTAATATTTTCGAATATTTTATTAATTTTTTTCCTTTTTTTTTTGTCCTTCTTTCCTTTGGGTGAGGACCGACGAGGTTGACCTCGCTAGCGTCTAGCGAAGCTTGGCCCTGTCGACCACTGGCGAGGGCGAGCCTCGCCATCGCCTGCCATTGGTGAGGGCAAGCCTCGCCGTCGCCGGCCACTGGTGGGGGCAAGCTTTGCTAGAGGCTGGTGAGATCGACTTCGCCGGTCCTTACCTCTGGTCGGGGGGGAGGGAGGGGAGAATGGCAGAAGAAAAAAAAGGAAAAAAAATCGGAAAAAATTAATATTAAAAATTTGCGACATCAACATTGGTTGGATGGTTGGCTGGCGCTCACGTCAGCGTTTGCCAGCCGAAATTGACCGAATGGACTGAACTGATACAAATACAAAAGTTTTAGGATTGAATTGGCAAAATTGAAATGTGTAATAACTAATTGGCAAAAATACAATAGGTTTAGAAATTTTTGGACAATTTTTCATGAAATGTCACTATTTGAAATTGTGTTATGTGCTATTTTCAAGGAAGAAAATATATTTTTGCTTGGTCGGACCAACCAAAAAATGCCCCAAGAAATCTCACTTTTGAAATAACATTCTTCATCACCTCACTTACTCTTTGTCCAAACACAAACCCTAGACTTTGAACTCAGTTTCGGCATCTCTCGGGGGGAATATTCACTATAGATCCATGGAGGTTCGGTGGAAAACTCTCGCTAAAAACGAGAAAAGTAACAAATTAGCCAAAGTCCAAAAATTAGGCAGAAAAGAATTTTCTCAAACGACTTACAGGTGGAAAATCCAAAGTCTAAAAATTAGTCAGAAAAGAATTTTCTCACACGATTTACAGGTCCAAATGCCAAACTTTCCTTATTTTAACTAAAGGGTTAACACTATAAAAAACTCTAAATTAGTACATCTATAATAAATTTAACCAAAATTAATTTTGATCGCAAAAAATCCCGATTTAATACATTTGTGACAATTTTTGGATTAATACAAAAAAAAGTCACAAACTTATGCACCTATGACAAATAGAGAATATAATCCAAACTGATACATCCATCAACTGTCACGTGTCATTTAACTTAGCAATTTGATAGTAAAATTTAACAGAAACTAACGGAGGGTAAAATTATCACAAGTATACCAGTTTGAGGTAAATTAATTTAAGATAAATTTATCACAAGAGTACGGGATTTTTCATGGTAATAACCCTTAACTAAACTCGCACCATAAAATACCAACAACAATAATAAAAAAAATTAAATCAAAATTAAAATTAAAATTAAAATTAAAACCCTTCTTCTTCAACGTCAAATTAGCCTCCGCTTTCAATTTAGGGTTTTGGGCGACCCTTAAAGGAAATACGCAAGAAAGGAGGAACCCTCTTCCGAATGCACCGCATGACCCGTTCCTGGTTTTCCCGATTCTATGGTTCTTGAAGGCGCTCCTCCCCACCTCGATGCTCTGTCCTGTCCTGTACCCTTCTTCGAAGCTGCGCGGAGAGGACCCTGATACGGCGTGACCCAGGTCGGTGGTGGTCGAGCGCCATGAACGCGGTCGGGGTCGTCGTGGAAGGAGGCCAGAGGGCTCTCAGTTCGGCCCACGGCGGCGTTCTTGATAGTGGGTCGAGGAGCTTCCTGCAGCAGCAGCATCAGCATCAGCAGCAGCAGCAGCAGCAGCAGCAGCCGCAGCCGCAGCCGCAGCCGCCGCAGCTCAAGAAGCAGAGCCTGAACCCGCAGTCCCAGACTGGGACCGTGCAGCAGCTCCTGGCCGGTGGCGTCGCCGGCGCTTTCAGCAAGACTTGCACGGCGCCCCTTGGTCGCCTCACTATCTTGTTTCAGGTTCAACCCACCGTCTCTCTTTTGACATCGTTTTCTTGCCCTTTTTTCTGTTTGTAGTGTCGGTTGTATGTTTGACACGAGATGGAAAAATTGTTGACGATGAAATGGGCTGGCTGGGACAGGACGCATTACGTGGAGCATAGTGTAGGTACAATTAGCAAGATAGATGTCAGCATAAAGAAGTTGGAAATACTTGAAATTTCTTCTTGGTCCAGCCTATTCGTTTGCTGGGTTTCCACAAAAGCTATTGTGGAGAGATTGACCTCGTGGCATGGAGGCAATATGATAGTTAGAACCTAAAATCTGTCTAGGCTTCTGGTTCTGCTTATTTTCAGTTTGGAAACTTCCTCTGGGCTATTGACATTATATCGATGGTTTTGCAATTCTTAGAATTATCCAATAATAGGCAGCATAGAATTGGAGTAGTGGAGATGATTTTCTTCCCTTATTTTGCTATTTTAACAATGGAGCTGGATAGTCTCTGAACCCCTGATATTGATGCACAAGACTTTTTTTTTTTTTTCCGGGATACCTTTCTTTGAGGTAGATTATATAGAAATCACGGCAGGAAGTAGGTTTTTTTGTGGTTTAGGGGGGGTGTTATCTTTTCCCCTTGTGTATGCGAGGGCGGAGATATTGTGGGTCATGGCAATTTATATTTCGATCAAATGGCAGCTTTTCTATACTCTATATTGAATCTTGTATGTTATTTGATCTGCCAAGGTGCAAGGTATGCACGCAGATGTTGCAGCCCTGAGCAAGGCTAGCATATGGCATGAGGCATCACGCATCGTCAATGAAGAAGGGTTTAGGGCCTTCTGGAAGGGAAATCTGGTTACAATTGCTCACCGCCTTCCTTACTCTTCGGTCAACTTTTACGCTTATGAACGGTACAAAAGTGTCAGTAACAAATACTCTGGCCAATTCCAAGATGTTTTTCAGAACAGAGTGTTATGGTGGAGAGTCCCTAATTGTGTTTTTTAGTTCTGCAGATGTTACAGTCAATTCTTGGGGAAAATAGCAAAGGAAGTGCCAGTGCAGGTCTTTGTGTACACTTCGTAGGTGGTGGAATGGCTGGAATAACAGCTGCAAGCGCGACATATCCTCTGGATCTTGTTAGGACACGCCTTGCTGCGCAGGTAAGTCCGAACATGTAAAAGATTACACTGTTTTGAAATCCATCTCGCATGCTTGCTCTCCCATGTTAGGGTAGCATTTTTCTTTCCTCCTCCTCCTGTTTACTCATTTACTTATTTATTCGGGTTGGGGAAGTCAAAACAAGAGGTATCAATGGATCATATAGATAGACCATAGGTTAGATACATGTTCTTTTAGATTTGTTTTGTGATGTTTGGCTTTTTTACTTCATTTAATTCATCTTCGCACTTTTTGGATTTTGCAGAGAAATACAGTGTACTACAGAGGTATTTGGCACGCATTTCATACCATTTGTAGAGAGGAAGGCTTCTTGGGGTTATATAAAGGACTTGGAGCCACGTTGTTGGTACAGTTGTGGTTCAAGTGTCTGTATCTTCAACTTCATGAAGTCGCATACTACTTACCTGTTTTCTCTGCGTCTTCTGTTTTGCAGGGTGTTGGACCAAGCATAGCAATAAGTTTCTCTGTGTATGAGAGCTTGAGATCTTTTTGGCAATCTCAAAGGTAAAAAATTTTCCTGGTTATTTGTTTCTGTCTGATGCTTCATTGGGTTTGTGAGTGTATATCTTTCTTTATCTTAACATTAGGCCAAATGACGCTACTGTGATGGTCAGTCTGGCTTGTGGCAGTCTTTCAGGGATTGCATCATCAACTGGTCAGTAATTTGGAAGTTCCATTTAAATCTTGCTTCCTAGATAAGATCTTCCCATTTTGCAAGCGTTTTGCTAATTGCTGAATTCTTTCACATGATTTGAGTCATTGAAAGCCTAGACAGAGTTATCTCGAGTATATTTTCTGGATCTTAATGTCCGTGAAATCCTCTTACTTTTCCCTTGTAGCTACATTTCCTCTGGATCTTGTGAGACGAAGGATGCAATTGGAAGGGGCCGGTGGTCGAGCCCGTATTTACAATTGCGGTTTGTTTGGGACGTTCAGGCACATAGTCAGGACAGAAGGCTTCCGTGGCTTGTATAGAGGGATACTTCCTGAATACTACAAGGTTGTCCCTAGTGTGGGCATTGTCTTCATGACCTACGAGACACTGAAGATGCTTCTATCTCAAAGTTCTACTCGGGATTAGCCGTGTACTGCTTTCTTGTGCTGTCAATGACTCCATCAAGACCGTTATGAGAAAAATAGTAAGAAAATTCAGTTGATTTTAACGTAGCAAGTAGATAGATAGGATGAAGAGAATCTACAATATTTGTGATGAAGTTCCATGACGGTAAATTTTGCTGTTACCGTCGTGATTTTGGGGTCAAATTTTTCTGTGCATAATTAGCCCGCCTTTCGGATGTTGTACCGAGTTGAGGTTAATTAGGTCTTTATCTTTAAAGGAGATTCAAAGTACCATGAAGCTACAGATTTGGTCTTTGCTCTTGTAAACCTGCTTGGCAGGTTATGCATTTATTGATGAGACAGTTCTGTGAAATTCTAATATCATATAAGTGCCTTATCATGAGGCTAGTTTACTCTACCTATGTTTCGTCATTGATCTGACTTGGCTTTGTTTGCTATCATCTTACATGGATATGTAAATTGATCGAACTACTATTCTGCATCTAGTAGATGAATTGTGTGATTCCTCGAATCCTTTATAATCTCCATCTATTCTCTCGTGTGCGGCTCATAGCAGATTGGAGCTGGAGTACTTTATCTTGTTCAGACTGTTGCAATTGTGTCTTAAGCCGAAATCCATCTCTCACAATTCATGGGTGTTGTGGCACAGTGATGGATCATAAGTTGCAGCTCTCGCGCTTGCTCGGGGTGGATGCCTATGCCTCATAGTGGATGAGGTGGGCTGAGCTGCCGATCGAAAACTGGGAAAATCATTTCCAGCTTTCAAATCCCAGCTTTGTTAATTATAATCCTTGATGATTGTTCATGTGGTTCGAACCGGCTCTTGCCCAAGTCTAGCATCGGGGTTGGACCCAACGAAATAGTTCTGGATGGATGATCATGAAGACCGCATCCTTCGCAACTCCATGTACAACTGTACATATTTTTGCCTAGAATTTTGCAGTTTTGGCAAAGTACCTAAATTTAGAAAAGTTGGTAACTTTATACGGGGGATCAAGTGGGGTATTGGACACGATTGTCTTTGGCACATCCTGATATTTTTTCCAAGTTTGCTTCGAATCGCCTCTGCTTTCGGCGCGGTTCACGTCACTCTAGTGCGTGGATCGTCTGCCGACTCTTTTTGGTGGATGTAATGATCAAAAGAGAGAGATGTATACTGAAAATGCTCCAATCAAAATCACATAGACCCTTAAATATCTGTGATAGCTTGGCATATTGCAAATAAAATAAATGAAGAATCTTAGATTTGGGTTACGATGTAGAATAGGGTTAGTTGTCAAGGGACCCATACATGATTGGCTTTGCGTTTATTTTTGCTCCTCTTATTCCTATTCTAAAGAGAATCGAATGCCACAATCTGCATCATAGCTTTCACTTCTTTCTCTGCTTCTGCAACTTGCCAAGCTGCTGATATCTAACTTGTGTCATGTCACCGTTTTTTCTATGCTTAGATAGGTCATTCTTTCTTAACGACGTTTTCAATGATGTGAATGGCGATAATGTTTGGCCTCCTCCTGACATAACCTGTCTAGCTAACCAGTATCATGAGAGTGTATTCAATGCATGGCATGAAGCGAAGTAAGTTCAGCTCAGATAATTGAACATAACCCCCGAAATTACTTAAGTATAGGAAGCTGGGTTCGGCACGTTGTACTGGTCCTGTGAACCAGTGATGTATCTTGAGCTCCTCACCAACCCCAATTTATGAGAAAGATCTTTGGCATTGGTTTGGAAATGCCAGACACGTCATACAGGATCTGGTACATCATGACCTGGCATGAGCACGCCCCCAGGAAAGAGCAGCATCAGATAATATTTGTGTCGACAGTTATGGAAATGTAGTAGGGACATGCTAAAACGGGTCATTGAATGAGCGAATCGACCCGTGCTCACTCGGTTCACGGCATATATCCTCCAAGAGCACAAGCTTTGTGGTGGCTATATAACTAGTTAGGAATAAGAATATGATTACTGCGTTTAAAAGCAGATGGAGACAACAAAAGCCAGATTATATTTGAGGAAGTGACGAGACCCCCCTCTTTTACACTATCATTTTCGAAAGTGAAAGAGCAGCCACAAGACATCATATCAATAAGAGCGGAAGTATCTATAAAAGCTTTTTCAGATTCTTCCCAGTGAATTATACTGATCTAGCTTCAAGCACACTAATTGTATCAACAACACTAGTTCACGATTCTAATTTTCTTGTTTGTGTTCTCCAAAAGATCAGTTATAATCATTTTAGTGAGAGGATCTTTAGTGTTTTCTTTATTAGTTAAGTCATTCCTCTATCAACAGCGGTCAAATCGGAAATTTCATTATATGAGGAAAGAAAGTTCTTATCATTGGCTGAAGAAGAACAAGAATCAAACCATGCATCATCATTCGGAGCTAAGAGCACCTTATCATGGCTTTGTGCTAAGATTCACAGGCCTTCTAACCTCTCATTCATATGTCTGAGTTAATTAATATATATTTGGGGTGAATTCCCAAAAAAACCCAAAACTTTAAGTCAAGTCCAAAATCTACTCCGAACTTTTTTTTGTCTCGGAAAAAACCCCAAACTTTAGGTCCAGTCCAAAATCTATCCCAAACTTTTTTTTGTCTCAGAAAAAATCTCAAAGTTTAAGTTTAGTCCCAAATCTACCCCAAATTTTGTTTTGTGTAAAAAAAAAATCACCAAAATTCAATTTATTTTCAAAAATATATTCCCGTGATCCAGTCCCAACTTGACGCGACACTTCCACGTCGATAACAAATCCACGTCGATAAAGTAATGGGACGATAGGTACAGACCGATGCCGCATTTCCACTTGGATAACAAATCTAACCCAATAAAAATTGTTGAAATTCTCTAAAATAAAACCGTTCTAGGATATGAAAATTAGGGACGATAACAAATCCACCTCAAAAGAGGTAGAGCTTCACTCTACCAAAACAGTAGACATTTTCAGACAAATGTTGTATTGTCTACTATGTGAAGACTTCCCACCTCCATCTTCTCGAGCTATTAGCACCATTTGTAATACTGGGGGATACCCCTAAGCTGCTGTGTTTCATTCGCTTTATAATACTGACATTTTACACCCAAAAAAAAAAACAAACAAATCCACCCCAATTTTTTTTTAATTTAAAAAAATCCCTATTTTTAGGTTAAGTCCAAATTTGCCCTAAACTTTTCTTTATCTAAAAAAAAGCCCCATTAATTTGTTGACGTGGATTTGTTATCGACATGGAAGTGTCACGTCAAGTTGAGACTGGATCACAGGAATATATTTTTGAAAATGAATTTTGGTGATTTTTTTTACACAACAAAACTTGGGGCAGATTTGGGACTAGACTTGAAGTTTCTGAGACAAAGAAAAGTTCGGGATAGATTTGGGAATGAACCTAAAGTTTGAGATTTTTTCTGAGACAAAAAAAGGTTCGGGGTAGATTTGAGACTTGATCTAAAGTTGGGGTTTTTTTTTAGGGAATCAGGCCATATTTCAAATCATGTAAGTTTTAAATCCAGTATAAATTCACAAGCTTCGGGCTCATCATCCTCAAAGTCCTTCCTCGTAGAAGCGGTTCCTTAGTAATATTTTTCTTTCTGCTCCTCCATCTGCTAACGATGCGATATCGTGTTATGATCTATGAGCTGATATGATTTCTATTGGGTGAGGAACAGGTAATCTGCATCCTGAGGTTTGGATCATCTCCCAAAGTGTATCTAATCCTCGGGAAGCAGATTACGTATTCCTTATCAGTAATGAAGAGCTGGAGAGGTTTTTCTGTTCTTCTCTTCTGCAAGGATTAGGGCAATTCTGTGCGTCCTCGTGCTCCGACAAAAGTGGCTGCACTTTCTGGTGACTTCCTCTGCGTAAGAAATCTATGTCGAGCAAGACAGTTATAATCATAGTACCCTTATTCTTCTCATTTTTGTTGTATTGACAATATCGGCATGGATTCCCATCTTCGTGCTCGGACAAAACTGGCTGCACTTTCTGGTGACTCCCTCTGTGTAAGAAATCTATCTCGAGCAAGACAGTTCTAGCCATAGTACAGAAACCGTCTACCCTTATTCTTTCTAGTTTTTTTGTATTAAAATTATCGGCATGGATTTGCACGTCGCTCGCAAGAATCTTTAACGCAACAGAGAACCTCATGTCTTGGTATTACTCATCTCCTTTTTTCAATTTTCAGTGATGAAGGTGGAGCTGCTTGAACTTGCGAGCTGTTCTTCTTTGATGCGTGCCTCCTATGAGGGGGTAAATTCATGGTTTTTGTTCACCAGTCATTCTTAGCTTAGCTTTATCAAGTGTCGTCATATGGTTATCCAGATCTCTTGGAATTGTTTATTAGATAATACGTCATGACTTCGTCCACTTATGCAATAAGAAATAGCCAAATAGGGAAGCAACAATGACAGATAATTCAGCACCACCAACCAACTTAAAGAGACTCGTTTTGTGGATAACACTGAGCTTTCTAATTGAAAGCATATCTTTTTCTCCTGCAAGCTTGAATATGCCAAGAATAAAATTACACCCACTCGTCTTGCTTGGAAGATGCCAGACAGATTTGGCCAATATTATAGTTAAGATTATGTTTGGTTGCACCATTAGTGGGGTAAAGAAGGAATATTAACCCGAGCAATATATAGAAAGTTCAAGAACTGCTTTTGCTACTTTGCAGGACTCCAACTGCCTCTTCCTTGCTTTCGGTGAAGTCCTTGCCGTCCTTGAAGATGAGAAACTCCATCGTGTCGATGTGGAAGAATATGAAACACCCGCATAAGTGAGTGATGCACGACCCGAAGTCCTTCCCGACCACGCAGTGCCATGACGGCCCGTATGCTTCATCAAATTTCTGTTGTCATTTATGATGAGTTAGCACTCTCTCCTCGGAACTAGCTTCGGTTTCAAGTCAGCAAGGCAGTGTTCATCATGTAAGATTGCAAATAAAACATGAATATCAATTCCTAACAAAGATTTCCCAGTTATTTAGGAACTTTTTGTCCGGCCGGATAGGTGCTGCAGCAAAACTGGGGCAAATTAGAATGACTAGAATTCTGAATAAAAGAATTTTTCACCTGCAATTCTTTGCAAAAAGCAGAAGCAGAGTATTTAGCAAGCGGTTGAATCAGTAATAAGGGTTACCCCTCAAACGGTGCAAAGATAGAACAAAGCCAGTCTCATTAATGCGACCGCGCAGTGCAATTATCCTATTAAGGTCCTTTAGCAGAATTATGACATGCTACCATAGAAACCACTTTATATGATTGTTCTACTTAATGATGGCTATTATATCTAACTAACATCAGGGATTTTGCCGTAAATCTTCACTTGTCTCGCACTACTTTGTTGCAAAGACTATCTAGTTTCAAGAAGAAAACTCAAACTCATAGGCCAAAAGAAAATAATTTTCCAGCAATTGCTCTTGAAAACAGGAGAGTAAGCGTATTTCCACGGATAAGGGGGCAACATGCTGATACCAAAAAATTAATTCGGTTAAACAGAGAATTTTGCTAGGGACATAGGTGAGTCTATGACCTGCTTGATATGATGAGCAATGGCCTGACAATCGGAGGATTCATGTAGGTCGAGAGCTTGGTAAGCTAAGTCCATTACATGGCTTCGCATTGCTTCTGTCATGTCTGTCTCACGCACTACAGCTCGTCCCTCCAGCATCTCACTGAAACCTCGCATCAATAGAAAAACCTTCAAGGAGGGTAAATTGGTATTGCCAACAGTTATACAGGAAGATATATAGATGAAGTCGAAGCAACGAGTGGTGGCTGGATTCACTGCACGTTTCAGAATCCTCCAGCTCAATTCCACGAAAGGGAATATGATTTGTATGTATAGACAGTTGTACTGAAAAATATCTTGCTTCGAGCCTGTTTTTTTTTTTTTTTTGGTAACCCGGGAACCCCCCGCACGGCCGACAGCCGAGGAGGTAGCCTGTTTCTCATGTAAGAACGCAACTTTTTTGTCGTTAATCGGGGTGAAGTTCTTGGACTACATTCGCGCATGGAACACAACCACGACTTGAATTACAATAGGCTCTAGGATGGTCCAAGTAAAAGACAGAGTTCGGAATGTTTATGGACAACAAATGCAGGCATGAAGATATTTAATGTGGTTGGCGACTTCTTATTTGTCTGCTTCATCATCTGCTGGTCCCGTGTTTGCAAGTGGTCCATGTTTGGCAAAACAGTTTGAGCCCTTCTTTTTAACTTCCATTTTTTGCTCTTTTTTATTTTTGTTTTTCCTTTTCTCAGCTTAAGGAATCTACATAAAGAATCAACTTCCCTGCCCAATGTTGGGTAGGAAGTACCTCCAAGCAGGATGGAATCGCTGAGCTCGGTTTTGGGACTTAAATACCAAAATGCTGAAAAGTATTCGGAATTTGCTTCCACTTAGCCTTAATTTTGAGGGCTAGTGATGCTGCTGCTACAAGAGCCACTCAAGTGATGCTTAAAGGGGATGACCAGTAGTTCAAGTTGATATTTTTAGCCTTCCACAAGCTAACCCGGATTGAAATTTCGCCGATAATACATGAATAACGAGAATAATTGAGTCTTATAATGTTCGAAGCATTTGCAGAATTAGAGATCATGCTGGGTACCATTGTTAGAATTTACCAGTTTGTTTCAGCCAACATTCTTTAGCTTCTGTAAGGGGCCAACAGAACAGAGTCAAAATGCACGCAAGTTCTCCGATATTCACTAAAGATATGCTAAATCTGCTCATCAAGAACGCAAATTAGGGCAATCCTTTACGACTATAACGGGCATAATGATCTGAATAAAAGGTTATAACTAATTTGAAAGGCTTCTGGGGAAAAAATGAAGAAGATATCTGGTTTATCATTTCACTGTCGAAAATTTACAAGATCGCTGAGAAGAATCTCAGCTTCCATCTAAAACACTACAGAAAGTACCAAAAGACTCAGAAAAACGAACTTTCTCTTTGCACTTGAATAAGCTTTCTTCTTCTAGCCCACCACGTATACCAGTCAACAAACCAAAAGCCGAAGAAAAAAGATAGGCACGTCCACATAAAGTTACATATTCTCACAGTGACCCACCTTCTTGAAGACCCAAAACTTCTTGAGTATCATCAATTCTAAAAGCAAATCAAATCTGTGTTCAATTTCTCTCTCTAGATCAGTGAACTAGGCTAAGCCAACTTGCACGAAGATTCTTGACGTCGCGCTCCATCAAAATCGGGATTTAAAAGATATCGATTCGATTTGCACCTTAGGGAAAACTCCGAAACTTTGTATAATTATCGCGTCCTGAGCAAGAACAGGCTGAGTTCTTGACCCTGGCACTCGTCTGGGTTAATCAGATGGAAGGACTCTGAGTCGGCGCTGCCAACGACGTGCTCATAATTCGCCCGCATGTACATGATCTCCTCGGAGCTCGCCGAGCCGGTCCCAGATGGTATGACTCCGGCACCAACTGTCATCGACTGCATTGTCTTGAGCATTGACCGGTTCTGTTCGCTCGCTTTCCTCTTCGTCGCGAAGCCGAGCTTCCGCCCGTTACAGGAGAGGGTCCACATGGGCACGGACCGCAGAGGGCAAGAACCGAGCCCGGGCTCCGAGTCGGCGGAGCACTCGAGGGCGATCCGGACGAGCTCGCTCGACTGCATCTCCTTGACGAGCTGCTGGGTCGGGATCGAGAGCTCGAGGAGGAGGGAGGGCTTCGTGGAGAGGCGGTCGTGCTGCACGCAGAACCACACGTGCCCGCGGCGCGGGCCAAAGATCGTCCCGATCACCATGGTCTTGGAAGGGCGCGGCGGCGCCACGGCCACGGGGGACGTCGAGCCCGCAGCGTCTCCCCCGGATCCGTCATCTTCGACATCGCCGCTTCCCTTCCGAAGTCGATCAAGGTCCAGATTGTGATCTTGGATTCTGGGTTCGTCGTAAATGTCGTCTCGAAGCGAGGTGCTTATGCGCTTCTTGGTGGCGGGGGCAGGGGCGGGCGCGGCGATTGGCGGGGAGGCCAAGGGAGGGGCGAAGCAAGGGAGGATGAACCGACGGAGGGTGTCGATCTTGGTCATGGCGGGGCGGGTTGTTCTCGACAGAGAATGAATCAAGAACCGGGTCCGATACTCGACACACACAAAAAAAAAAAAAAAGAAGAAGAACAAAATCTATGGATCGGAGGTGGACGATGTCGCCGCGGAAACTGATTCTTGCGGAGGTGAAGATGCGAGTGAATTTATAGAGAAAAGAGGCGGGAAGCAGCTTGGGGTGGGGGACTAGCCGTTGCAGCTGCAGCTGCAGGGAGGGAGGGAGTGGGGAAACGAAGTGGGGTGTCGCCACGTGTAGGGAACCCATTGGGCCGTGACCCAAGTGGGGGTGGGGGGGTGGGTGAACGAGATTGGGGAGCGAGCCCGGTCAAAACCCTGCCTGGGGCTTATGCCGCTTTTGCGTTGTGCAGCTTTTGGGCTGAACGGAGAAGAACCAGGCTGGCTTTTCTGTCTTTGACCCCTGAAAGAAAGTAAGTCTGGGGGCTAAAGATGTCAGTGTCCCGAATCTCTCTCGCAGGCATCATCGTGGGACTGGACAGCAATGGCATCATCATCATCTTCATCTTCGGCTCGAGTATGATGCAAGACCATCACGGTTCAAACAGAATCTCGCCTTAAGATAGATGAATCCCCGAGCTCTCGTGTAGCGAGCAAGATCGCGTCGCCACAAAGCGTTACCGCTTGATTGGGTTGGCGATAAAGCTCGATTCGGCGAGACGAATTTTGATGGAATAGATGAATGGGTCGTGTAGGTGGGGAAAAAGCTTTCGTGGTTTTGACGTTAGTTGCGTCCCGCATTCCTCGTCCTGCCATGTCTACCCACGGAGATCGGATTCGGCTTTGATGGCTCATTGATTGGCCACCTCGGGCGTGCTATGGCACGGACTAGTGTTACCACATTGAAACACGCGTATGAGTAGGGGCATTTCATCTTAGCTTGGTAGCCCGAGAGCTCGGACCGGTCCGGACTGATAGTAAGGGTTGGGAGTTAACGGGGTCGGGAATCCGAGATCATTTCAGTTCTCCCCTCGGTCGGTATGGTTCGGGCTACCCAGCTTGAGATGGTTAAGTCTAATTAGCTCAGTAGTCAGTCCATTCGAAATAATTCCCAAATTATAAAAAAATATGTTTCAAATTCGGAAATGCAAAAGTTAGTAAAATAAATAACTAACAATTATCCTATAAAGCCAAAACCAAGTTGAGATTAATAATCAAACGGCAAATTGACCAAAAAATAATGTGGTAGTAGGGGCCAAACTAAGAAATGCCCCAAAACATAACAAAAAAAGAGTTATTGTGGGCTCTGAATGAACTTTTAGATTTACTTACGGCTCCCCATCTCCCCCCAAATCAGAAGTTCCGTCTTGTCAAAGCCAACGCCAGCGATTTCAATTATTTGGAAGGAATTTATAGATTTTTGAGTGGTATCATCTTAATGGTCTGATAATTATATGCTTGATTTTTCAAATTCAATGACAAATGACAAATTGGAAAAGAAATATGTGCACGTTAATAAAATCAGGTTTGGCTTAAACTAGCCTGGACTGTCATTACCAGGGGTGTCAATGGGTCGGGTCGGGCTTCCATTATACCCGACCCGAAATATATAGGGTCACGCTTGACCCAACCCGACCCGACCCAAAACCCTGTTCAGCATATGCTCCAAGAATAGGGTCGGGTCGGGTCGGGTCAGTCCGAGTCGGGTTTAGTGTTTTTTTTTTAACAGGGACCAATCTTTTCCATTTCCGAGCTCCATCCTGCCCTTAGCAATAGAAGCTGAAGCTCATACAAGCTTAAAGAATCAACATCATCGTTACCCAAAGCCATTGCTCTTCCTAAAATTTCTCACAATTCACACAACAAATTGGAAGATACAGCAACAAGAGCCAGTCGCCCGCATACCCACGACGGAACCCACGACGAAACCACGAACGCAACGCTGAGAATTTGACGCGCGAGAGAGACGGGGGCGTTTACTTATCGGACATGATGGCTATGGACTTGAAGGCCTAGATGAGGTTGCGGTCAGGGTTGGTGCCGCGGCCCTGCCACTTGCCGAGGGAGCAGCTGAGGAACTCGCCGGAGGAGCCGTTGGGCTTGGAGATGACGGTGGAGAGGCCGTCATCAGTGAGGAGGGGATTGTAGGGCCTGCCGATGTGGACGGGTTCGTTGTCGTTGGACTCGTTGGCGAAGGTCCATCACTCGGAGGTCTCGTCGATAGAGTGCGCCTTCGGCACCAGGCCGCACTCCGAGCAGATTGTGTCTACCGCTACTCCGGCGGAGAGGATCGACGGGGAGACGGAGCTCGCTAGGGAGGTGGGGCTTAGCGGCAGGGCCTCGACTTGGGCGGTCACGGTGAGCGTCGTGAGCGCGAGGACGAAGGCCACCATAGCCATGTTCGCAAACTTCACAGCCACCATTGCCACGAACTTGAATTCGAGCTCTCGTGCAGAGAGAGAAGAGAGCGAAGGGGAGAGAGAGAGGGGGAAGGGCTGTTCTGGAGGAGTTGTATTTGGTGCCAGGGTCAAAAAAGCCCAGCCCGGCCCGGCCCGGCCCGACCCTAACAAATACCCACACCTAAAACCCTTACCTAAAGAAGATCAAGATTTGACCCCAAAATACCCTAAAATTTCGAGTCGAGCCAGGCCGGGTCGGCCCGGGCTTTTTTGACACCCCTAATCGTTACAGCTGAGGTTACAAGCTGGGCCGGAAAAGCCGACCGCGGTCTGCCCATGCTGGATCGAGAACCCCCTTCAGGCCCGGCCTGTTTACACCGGTACCAACGAGCATTGCTAGCTCCTTATGCCCAGGGCAATGACCACGCTGCATACAATTATCAACAAACCAGACCGTAGAAATTCAAGCTCTTCAGACCTGTGAACAAGTTAGCCTTTCGACACTTGATGCGCTATTCTATTCTCAGAGCATGTCACAAACTCATTTCTGCAGAAAACCTTCCTAAGGTTAAGAGCAACACTCAATCTCTGCATTATGGTAAGCAGAAATTCGACCCGGCCTCAAAAATCACCAAGCATTAATAAAGATTTCGACACCTATTCCAGGGGGATATAAACGCCCTGGCGGAGTCTAACCAAATGGCCAGAAGCATCTAGACTTACAATCGATGAGCTAGCTGAGTGAAGGGGAAAATTAGATAACTATTGTACTCCACTCAATCTTGCCCAGTCCACGAATTGCATGCCACCATATATGTTGTTTGCAAATCGTACCCCCACCGTGAAGGCCATAGCGATGGGCGGCATGCGTTTGGCAAGAGGCGATGCTTCCACCAGTCTCTCTAGTCCATTGATTACCTGATACCGGGTGTTGGAAGAGACCGCAAGAAAAACACCTGCGAGTTTCGAGATTCAAAACAACAAAGGAGAAGGTATTAGTGGGGCTGGTTGAATGATTACCTGGAAAGTTGACAAGCACCTAATTAGCACATCAGTAACTGCTTGCAGCTTATATTACACGACTCAAGGAACAAGTTCAACACATCAGAATTTCGATAGAAAGTGAAAAAAGAAACAGAAAATAATGAACACGAAAATAGCCAGGATAGACAAGAAAATCTCTCTTCAAGGGGATCATTCAAAATTAAATATTCTTACGAGCAACAGCCGCAGAGATAATATGGTATTTTGGGCAAGAGGGATGGTTCAGACTGTTCTCATACTGCAATATCCATTCAAATCTATAATACATTGTTGCAACTGAAGAAATCCTTATCTACTATCATTGTAAGAAGTTTGATGCAGCAGATTTGTGCAAAGAAAATCATGTTCCACCATCATGATACAGCTATCGTGTTGACTAGGGGCGCGTAAAATACTGAAAAAGGTCACGATTCAAGTAGAAAAAAAGGTAGGAGAAACAAACGAACTATATTGAGAGCATGTAAAGAATCAGGGAAGCATGTTAGATCAAAAGCTTTAGGTAATCAAGAGAGACTGAGAAACACAAAAAATCATAGCAGTGAAGAAAACGTGGGAAAATCGGTAAGATCAACAGAATGTCACAAGATTGAGCTTATATACTCTAAGCAATACAATTAGTAACTTAAAAATTACCCCAAAGAGCTGCACTCTTCACAAGAGGTGGCACCGGAATGTCCTCTTCAGATTTTTTTATGTTCCTAAAAGAGCAAATGGAAGACTGGAGTGAAAGTCTGGGACAAGATACATACGACAAGAAACATTCGAATCAATTGAATAGTCAGAATGAAGGGAAAAGAGTAGCTCAGATCCAATAATTTTTTACATATGCACTAACAATTTGCACTGATATTTTTTTGGTTCTTGTAAGGAACTCCATAGGTTACATGGGAAGTGAAGGGTAAGCATACAGTCAGAGAAGAAGGAAAGGCAAGCGCCATAACATCAAACAGATTCTGGACATGCAACATGTTATTAACAATAGGAATCAAAATAAAAAAGGTAAAAAAGAAAGCTCACTTTTGACAACCATTCTATAAGTACATTAATCAGAGGACATAACAGATGTTCTCGAAATCAGCTTTTCCACTTAAAGAAAAAAAGTAGTCAGATTATCCTTTGGCTTCAATTCAAATGAATAAACGTAGCATGCTTTTGCATGGGTCAAGCAATACAATGCCAATGCTTCGTGATTTGTATTGCCCAACCTCAAATTTTGGCATGTCGGACATGGACTGTACCTTCAAAGTTACTACAGAGCAACTGAATGTACCCTATTTCACTTATATTGCAGCTTCCATGCTCAAGTCACTTCTGTATTACTTCAGGATGATTAAAATGAGAATAAAACATTTAGGAACACTGTGGACAAGAGAAGAAGAATACACGACAGACAGTACATGAAGCAACAGAGATGCAAGAAAAGCATAATGAGCAGTGTAGATGCAACAGAATGCCAATCCCCTTTCACAATCCCCCATGGTTCAGATATTGACCTTATAATCTCTTAAGGCAAAAATACAGACACTCATGCTCTTCTTTTTGAGCAAAATCATGAAAAAAGATGAAAAGTAATGACCAGAAAGTAGTGATTATAGTGCCAAGCATGCAGAATCAAATTTATACCGCTTTGTTGTCATGATCAGATTCGCGATTCCTTGTCCTATGATACCACATGCAAATCCAACTGCACCATACAGGATTCCCTGTGATTGTCGTAGAGATGGAAAAACATTAACTGACTAGTAAAGCTCTCCACTATTTATACGAAAAACTAAAATTTGATCTTCACCAAGGAAGCTCACCTTATAGAAGTATGTGGCTACTCTCTGATTTACAGAATATCTAGATCCTGGTCTTTCGGCTTCAAATACACTGAGAAAGATTATGATTCACAATTGTAACTGACTGATAAGTCAATTTTCTCTACAAAGTTATAGTAGCAATAGCGAAAGAATCACTAATGCACAGCAATCTAGCAACTTATGCCTACTATGACATTGAAAAATTCGAAACCACTCAAGAACTTATAGTCCATTCAGAGAAAGCATGAACTCAACCTGCTAGGAAGGGCTGCATATGCATGCTGCATGCGCCCAAGGAACCCTTTGCCAATAGAAGGTTGACCAATCCTAGCGTAGGGAGCTAGCATACCAACTAAAGCAATGTTGACCACCACCCCAACCAAAAGATCTGCAACATACAGCTCGAATTCTGCCCAGAAGTCTTTGCCCCTCTTTTGAACTTCCGCAATTGTCGCACAACAAGAATCAATAACTATCTGCACCAAGTTATAAATTAATAAGTCATCGCCAAGGAAACTATATAATTGGATAGTAGAGTTTTCATACCATACCAACATGAGCAACAACAGGAATAATGGTACAAGATCGATCATCCTGAAGAGTTGCTAGTTATTAAAATTTCCCTAATATTTCTGCATTGGGTCTCTCAACTATGATAATAGCTTCATGGCTATATTAAGATGGCAGGGTACATGACTAACCGGTACAGTAATGCAATGAAAATAGCATAGCCTTTTAGTCAAGGATAGCAGTTAAGAGGCAGTTTTAAAACTGTTAAAATGTCAACACAGAAGGGACACAAGTTCCAGGGATGAAACTTTCTTAAAGCTAGTATCAAACCTCTGTTCCAATTTTAAAAAGAAATGATGGATCAGCCAACATTCGATTCCGAAGCATAGAACACGACTTCATTGCAAAGCCCAATGGCCAGACGGAACCCTACAATAAGCATAAGAAAGGGGGAAAAAATCAGCAACAACATCAGCAAAATAAGGGGAAAGAGTCGTACCTTCTACAATTTCTCGAAAAATATCTATGCCGGATACTTCCATTACCAATGAATGAGCAGCACAAGAAACCTCGATATATCTACCTGCAAATCCAGGAATCTTTCCAGAAGAACCTTGCGAAGCCCGACACTCTTTGCCGCCTCCAACATATCCGGAGGAAGAGTAGCCCCTCGAGCCTTGGTTTCCCTCATCACTTCGTCAAACTTCATGATAGGCCCGAACTCCTCCTCTTCCTTGTCATTCCCTTCATCGCCACCTCCGCCGCCACCTCCATGACCACCTCTCCCATTCGAGAATCCCCCATTGCCGCCGTTACCATCGAAGCCGTCCCCGCCATTACCATTGCGATCTGTCACCAACTCATAGTCATCTTCCACGATCTTAAGATTCTTCCCCGCCAGCTTCCTTTTCACCGAAAATCGCGGTGTCAACCGCACCGACAGACTGCGACTCGCCCTGCGGCTGCGACACGCTCATCATGACCACAAACTTCTCCACTTTCTCCGCTTTCTCCACAGAGCACCGACGGACACTAGCCTTACTATGAAGCGACAGAGCAACTTCATTTACGGACCGCTTGAGGACATAACTACCGGGCATCAACTTGAAAGAACAAACCCTCTTCAGAGCAAGCTTGTCCTCCAATCTCGCGAGTTGCAATGACGCATCCATCGACGAATAGCTCGCCATGTCTCTCCTCGATAAAAACTTAGACGGCTCGACGAATTAGCAATCAACAACTATCGCAAACAAAACAAGACAGCAAGAGAAACGGGCGATGTGGAGAAGGGTGCTTCAGATCCAGCTTTGAAAGATAACCACCTTTTTTGAACGAGGAAGACGAAGCTCGGACGACGCCTTTGGCAGCTCCTCGGTGACGACCCCGAGCTCGAGGATTATCTTGGGAGGGGGGGGGAATGAGAAGTGAAACAAGAACACCCACTTGATCTTTCCTTGTGGGGGATTTGCTCGAAGGGTTTGAGTCGCGAAAAGAGAAGACCAAAGAGCCGGAGGAGCAGGAGGCGATGCGACGGCGAGGAGAGAGGGTGGTGCCGAGCTTTGAGCTGTGCTGCTTGTTGGTGTTCTCTGCTGTTCCTCGTTCTTGTTTTGTTTTCGAGGGAAGTGGCGGCGTGGACAGTGTGGGGCAGGGCTGGTCGTCGCACGTGTGTGAACTCCTCTTTTGTTTTTTGGTCAGAACACGTGTGTGTGATCTTGAATCTATAGACCCTGTTCGACAATTGTCGAAGCACTCGCGCTCTGCCTCGATGATGATATGAATTGCGTTTGGCTGTTAGGATAAAATTCAGGATCCAATCCCGTGTTTAGTTATATTTGAGACGGGACAAAGTTAGATATAAAAGGGGATATAGCTCCAATGAATGATGTGGGATAAAAGTGCATAGTATTTATAATATCTATTATACAAAAGTTATTTTTCTCGGAAAACAAACTTTTAAAATTAATAAAATTAAAATGATATTTGAATATAAATAAAATTTAAATTATAATATAAAAATTCAAAATAACAAAAAAAATAACAACAATTTCGTTTTTATTTATTCTTGTTTGTATTTATATATTCGAATTTCTTTCTATTTTATATTATAACATATTTTAGGTATTTTAGGTATATTAGTATGGTTTACTGAGAGAATGATGGAAGGGTAAAAAAGAAATTAAAAAAATAGAAATAAAAAGAGAGAGAGAGAGAGAGAAATAATAAAAAACAAGCAAATAAAAATGAATTTTTACCTTCTCTATTTGTGCAATTTTTGAGTTCATTTGCACTGATATGCATGCGGTGGATATCAAATAATGGACAGAACGGGACGTAAAATCTCTGACTTTATTATTGCGATTTACCAAATAATGGATATCATAAAACAAAATCCCTACATTTTATATCCTATTCTGATTAAAAATACATACAATTAAACGCAGCCCTAAAAATGAGTTGGTTCACACGCGTAACAAGAACACTAGTACAACACGGGTAAGCTACAATAATTTAGCTAGGGTTTTGACTAGTTAAGCGGAACAATTATAAAGACTTTCTGAGTGAGGCCCCACTCCCCACTCCCACGTGGAGCCCGCCGCCAACCAGTTTTGATTTGAGTCCCTTCTTTAAGCATGTTTTGCTAATGGGGGCAAGTAAATTGCCGGCCTAATTCCATAAAAAACCCTAAACTTTAGTGTTAGTCCCAATTATATTCTGAACTTTTTTTTTGTCTCAAGAAAAACCTCAAACTTTTATCCGAGTCCCAAATCTGCCTTACAGTTATAAATCCATCCAATTAACGTCAGAAAAATAAAAATAAAAATCGAAAAAAGCTATAAAAAAACAAAACAAAAAAAGGAAAAAAAAAACAGAACCGGCAGCTGCGGCGGTGGCCAAGCCCTCGCCGGTGGCTGCCGCCACAGCCGCCGGGAAGGAGTGGCAGAGGTCGCCTGGGCCTTCCCGAAGCCCGGCGACCGTCGTCGGCCCCGGGCGAGTCCCCAGCAAGGGCCTGCAGCCCCCGATCTGGGGGAGGGCGCGACCCTCGCTCCAGATCTGAGCGAGGGTCGCCGGCCCTCGCCTGGGGCCGGTGAGGCCTCGCCCAGCCGGGCAAATCATCTTCCTCTTCTTCTTCTTCGACTCGATTCCTGTTCTTTGTTCCTCGTGAATCCTCGTATCTGGTCCGGTGTTGGTGCGCTCGTCGAATTTTCCTGATGGGGACGCCGGAGTTTCCTGATCTGGGGAAGCACTGCACCGTCGACAACTGCAAGCAGATCGATTTCCTTCCCTTCACTTGCGATCGCTGCAATCAGGTCTCCTCTCCTTGTCGGTCCTCGCCGGCCCCAGGCGAGGGCTGGCAACCCTCGCTCAGATCTAGAGCGAGGGTCGCGCCCTCCCCCAGATCGGGGGTTGCAGGCCCTCGCCGGGGACTCGCCCGGGGCCGGCGAGGGTCGCCGGGCTTCGGGAAGGCCCAGGCGACCTCCGCCGCTCCTTCCCGGCGGTTGTGGCGGCGGCCATCGGCGAGGGCTTGGCCACCGCCGCAGCTGCCGGTTCTTTTTTTTTTTTTTTCCTTTTTTTGTTTTTTGTTTTGTTTTTTTATAGCTTTTTTCGATTTTTATTTTTATTTTTCTGACGTTAATTGAATGGATTTATAACTGTAGGGCAGATTTGGGACTCGGATAAAAGTTTGAGGTTTTTCTTGAGACAAAAAAAAATTCAGGATATAATCGGGACTAACCCTAAAGTTTAGGGTTTTTTATGGAATTAGGCCGTAAATTGCCTATCCTTTTAACAAGGAAGTCAAATAAGAAAAGTTTTTCGAACATAAAAGAGAGGGATCAGTTTAGCCTAGTCATACAGGTCGCATGTTTCTTATACGATCGAACCTTTGAACTACTTCTGCTGCGTCGACAAGAGACATCCGATTACGGTACAAATCAAATATTCCACGATCGGTGTGCCGCCTTTGTAATAGTAATTCCCAGAGGGGATCGATAGCATTAGTGGTCTCTCCCTAGTTTCAAATTCGAGACAAGATTTTAGCTGCTCGAATATTGAATTGAATTGCTTGCCCGAGAGCCTAGCCATGGTGGAAACCCTCAAATTCCTCTCTCCTCGTGCAGGTGAAAACCTAATTCTGGAGTCAGACTGCCTAAATCTGGTCAACAGCTTGAAGTCTCCAGAAGGTATGCTGTGGGAACATCGTGCTCTCCTCAGTGAAGCACGTGAGCTGCTGTCTTCCTTTTCCAACATAAAACTGCAGTTTTGTAATAGGTCCAGGAATAGTGTGGCAGACTGGGTAGTTAAGACACACAGAAAAAAAGCACTCACTGAACATTGGTTGACCCGTCCTCTGCAGGCCCTTAGAGATCTGCTCTATTTTGAGACCCCGAAAGTGGGTTCTGTCTTTACTAGATATCAATGAATAGTCTTTTCTTCTGACAAAAAAAAAAAAGAATATTGAATTGCTTGCAGTTATTTTAGTTAGGTAGCTTAAGAGGCTAATTGAAGGAAGACAGAGCTGTCGAGCTTCAAATATTTATCTCAATGAGGTTCCACTATAATGTTAAGTTCCACATGTTAAAATATGTCTTAAGTAAAGCTTGTTACACATTCCGATTCATTCTATAAGAACAATCTTGGACCCAATGTCTTTTCGAGGAAAGTCCGAATGGGATTCGTATTGATCGACCGAGTGAAGATACCAAGCACGGAAATCAATCTACGTGTTGGAGTCGGCTTGACGAGGGTCTGATGTTTTCTTCTATAGATATCACTGCTTGGGTTTTGTTTGTTTTGTGTGCCTCGAAAGTGTGTTTCAAGAGGCGCCGTTATTGTGCAACGACGGGGCTGTTTTTCGGCATAACACCAAGGTGTCGTTCCTGCATTACATCCTGATGAATTATAGTGTTGTATATGTAAACACCGTGTTGTAAAATTAGTGTATTCCTTTGTGAAATTTGAGAGATTCTCTCATGAGTGATTATGAGGGCTAAAAACACTATGAGTTATCGAGTATAATTGGAGGCTAAAAAACACTGTGAATGTTTAAGTAACTCAAGTGAGGTTGTATTCTCTATTGTAGAATCCTCATGGAATAGGTCACATTGATCAAACCACAAAAATTCGATATCCAATTTATTTGTTTTTTGTTGTGTTTATTATTGTGTTGGATCACTTGTTTTCTTAAAAATTGGTAGTAAAGTTAGGCTGGACTGAGTTGAGGCAAATCGATAGTGACAAAAGCAGGAAAAGTAAAAATCGACGATTTGATGGGAAATATTTTTATTTTTTAGAAAATGTAGATTGAATATTATCTATATCAAAAGAATTTGCAGTTGCCCATTTCTAGGGAGAAGCTAAAGTCAATGAAACAAGTTGATTGGGATATGTTAAACAGACAAGCTTAGTGTGTTATTTGGTGGTGGACCTTGGCTTTTAATATTGTGTTTGATATTGTGAAAGAGAAGACTACTGCAGGACTGATGAATGTGGGAATGATGAATGCTCTATCAAGTATGTACAAAAAGCCCTTTGCGGTCAATAAAGTCTACTTAATGCGACATCTGATTCACTTAAAGATGGACAAATATGCTTCAATTTCTAAGCATATTAACGAATAAAATGTGATCATCAATCAATCGAGTTTGATTGACATTAAATTTGCTAAGGAATTACATGCTTTGATTCTATCATCCTTATTGCTTGATGATTGGAGTGATACTGCTACTTCTCTTAGTAGTTCTTTAGGGTTAGCATTTGATGAGGTTCTTGATTTTATTCCGAGTGAGGACATCCGTCAAAGAGAATCCAATGGAGTTGTGTCAGTTAGTTTAGTAGGTGAATGTAGATGAAGTACTGATGCTCGTGATAGTAGAAATAGTAGTAACTCGAATAGATATAGTCAATCTAGGATTGGTGGGATGCTCTGTTGGCATTGCTGCAGAAAGTGGCATGTCAGAAAGGATTGTCTTAAGCTAAGAAATGAAAAATGCAGGGAAATTAAAATTAAGTGTGCAATGATATTGTAGTCGTAGCTGACAGCTATTAAGATAGTGTTGATTTTGTCTTGTTTATCACTAAGAATTCGTCATTTGACGAATGATTGTTGGATTATGGTAGTTCATTCTACACTACATTGAACATGAAATGATTTGCAATTAATCAAAGTAGGGACAGTGGCAATATGTAATTTGGGAACAACACCAAGTGTGATTATGGGCCATTCAAAATCAGAATGCATGACAGTTCAATGAGAACAATAGCTAGTGTTAGGCACATTTTGGAGTGAAGAAGAGTATGATTTCTCGGAGGACTTTAGATTTAGTTGGGTGTTGGTATACTTAAGAAGCTGGCGTTCTAGAGTTATTGGAGGTCTCCTAGTAATAATGAAAAGAATCAAGCATAGTGGCTTTTATGAGTATAAGCGAAGATGGTGATGGAATTTGTCGCAGAAACATCGAATGCATTCATTTGAGAATCTGAATTCGTGGCATTTGTGTTTTAGACACATTGGTGAGAGAAGCTTGGAGATTTCGAGTGAGAGGAATCTACTATGTGATTATGTGGCGAAGAACTAAATGTATTACATATGCTGT